CATGGAAAAAATTATTAATTCTCTTTCCTTACATAGAGTGTGGCAGGGGGAAGATAGGTGAAGTGAAAACACCTTACGATGGTTTTAAATATCATCTCTATGCAGATGTCTAAAAAATATTTATATATCTTAACCTCAGCCTCTCTGCTGAGCTTCAATCCCATTTCACTAATTGCATATTGGACATTTCAAAGCAGATGTCCTAAAGATAAACTAGTTTCAACATGCCTACAACTCAACTCATTACCTTTCCCTCTTTTCCCTATTTCCCTGTGTCTGTTAAAGGCACCATCATCCTTCCAATCTCCCAGGTTGTTAACCTTGGCATTATACTGGAATCTTCACTCTCCCTCACCTCATACATCCATTAACTTACCAAATCATGGCATTTCTACCAGGCCCCCATTACTTCTCACTCAGATATTGTAATAGCTTATTAATTGGTCACCCTGTCTAAAATTTTTCCCAGCTACTTCCCAGGGTTATTATGAGAATAAAATGAGATAATATTTGTAAAGAGCTTTGTAAGTCTTAAGCTGCTATTCAAAACGATAGTTTTGTTTTGGGTTTTTGTTTTGCTAACCTACATGTTGCTGTCAAAGCAATTTTCCTTAAGCACAAATCTGACCGTGTGTCTCCCTTACTCAACCAACTCCAGTGACTTCCTATTTCCTCTAAGACAAAACATAAAGTCCTCTGTTTAGCCATTAAAGCCCCCTGCAACCTGTCCTAAGTCTATCTTTCCGGACTCACTGGACTCATTACTAAGATCTTATCTCATTCTCAGATGAAAAATTTACTCTTGTATAGTTGTTGTTATCTGTAGAATTTCCTTTATTTCTGGTTGCTGTTTTGCTTGGAGTGGTTTACTTGATTTACTTACCATTCATTGTTTGTGATGGTCTTTTTTTGTGTAACTCATTATTCCCCATGATGCATTCTGTAATCTAGGCAAACAGGCCTTCTCTTTGCTCTTCACATAAACACTCTAACTCCAGTCTCCATGCCTTTGCATTGGCCATCCCACATGGCCTTATGAAGGCCTCAAAGAGTCCCTCTCTTCCTTTAAGGTGTAGCTCAAACACCCTCGAAAAGCATAAAGCCTTTCCTGATCCCCTCCAACTGCTAATGTACTCAACCCAAAACTATCTTGTATTAACAATTGTGTGCCTTTTTATATTTATAATCCACATGTTGCCTCTCCCATTGGAATGAAAGTTCATTGTGAGTAGAGATTATTTAATTCGTTGTTCTTATATCCTCAAGGCCTAGCACAGTGCTAGGCACATAATAGGTGCTTAATAAATGACTTGTTGATTGGCTGGGACAGGAACAGAAGCCAACACAACAGGGTAAAAAGGACAAGATTCTCTTTATTATCTTTTCTCTTTCTATGACCTTAGGGTGGAAACACACATGGAAAGGTTTGAGGAATGCTCAAGGGTGGGAGTAAAGAGTAGGGGGCGAGGGGAGGGACAAAGGAAGGATCTAGCCAGAGTAGTTGTTGGGCCTCAAGTGGGAAGCTCTCTGAGTCATGACAGCATAGGAAGAGTGAGCCTACAAATGGCTACCCTCATGATCTCGAACTCAGATCATGCCAGGTTCTTCTCACTTCTCCTAGTCCCAAATAGGATACCTGGCTTACATCCTTTGCATATCAGAGCAAATTGGCTGTTCAGATAAGGGCCAAGAATTTTATGGAAATTATGGAAAGGGTGGGATACCTAGGAGATGCATCTAATTAGATTCCTACCTATCTCTGATATCACAGGCAGGATTAGCTAGAAGGCCTAATTGAGTACAGCATGAGGACAGAAATTTCCTGCTTGAAAAATATTGACATGGAAGTTTTCATGTATAGAAGATTCCAAAAAACGGAGAGATTGCCAAGGCAGGAGAAAGGGGCATGTCCGGAGCACAGGCAGTCCACAGTCTCGAGCTTTGAGCCTTCTGGATTTCAGAGAAGTCCCAGAAAACCAGAGGAAACAACTAATTAGCACCATGGATAGAATACTGGACTTGGAGTCAGGAAGATCTGAATTCAAATCCTGCTTCAAACACTTGTTAGTTGTATGATCCTGGGTACGTTACTTAACACTGTCTCTCTGTTTCCTCATCTATAAAATGGGGATAATAATAGCACCTACCTCACTATCAGGGTCAAATAGAATATTTGTAAAGCACTTTACAAACATCTATACAAATACTGAACTTTAAAAATATCAGGAGTTAGCTATTATTATGTTCGCTATTGTCTCAAACTGCTGAGGAACAAATGAGAAGCTTCATTTCCTTCAAAATATGACACCCTGTACAATCTGCTCCAAAATTAAGTGATAATTTCTGCCAATAATCACCTTGTATGGTGGTGATGGTTCTGGGATTGGAAGCTGGAAATTTCCTTCCCCCTTCAAAGCATAATTGGATGTTCAAGTAGTCACTTAACAGCACTCTCATCTGCGACCATCAATCTTACTCACCATTCATGCCCCAAGCGTGACCAAGAGCAGGAGTTGGAAATGATGAATGCTATTATCATTAGTATTTTAGTTGCTGTTATCATCTGTAAAGCTCTTCATATTTTCATAGAATTTCTTTATATGACATCACTTGGAGAACAGAAAAATGACCAGTTCAAAACAAGAACACCCATCCTTAGGCTTCTCTCTTACTCACTGCTGGAAGTAATGTGGGCCCCAAATGATTTAAACTGAGACAAACCATTTTTTTCCCCAGGGACCCCACGGTCCCTGATCCACGGACAGGCACTCCTACATGTTTATTTTTCTGAAGTCAATGCCTTCAGGTACTGAATGATATCCTAGAAATTTGGGCCATCTCCTCACTGTCCTGTCTACTTTGGGGAGTGATGCTATGTTCATCAGTAGCCAGAAGGGAAATCCTTTACTTTCTCCAACATACATGAGGATTGAGAATCCTGGGTCCCACTAGGGCAAAAGAAACCAAAATGTAATTTGTGTATTAGATATATTAATGTTTTCACAGAAAAGACCATAGGCCAGTATGATAGGTACGACAAAAAGTCCAGAATGGTGATTATGGGAAACAGATATGAAGAAAAAAGGCAAAGTTCTTTTAGAGATAAGAACATTGAAAAGTAAGCAGTATGGGTGAATAAAAAAATGCTAAGAGATGTTCTGAAAGACTGAGATGACTAGAAATGTTCTGAAAGACTCAAAGGCAGAAGAACACATGAACAGATTTGATATTGAGAAAAAAATCACTTCACATGAAGGGTCTCAGTTTTTCCATTTTCAAAATGTAGGGGTTGGAGTAGGTAATCTTAACATCTCTTACACCTCTGACACTCCACTCCTTGAGATCTTCAAGCAGAAATCACATATACGAACACCTATAAGGTATGTTTTATGGGGGATTCTTATGAAGATCCAGGTTGGCCACTCTTCCTCAAGAGCAGAGCACCACCACCAACAAGGTGGAAAAAGTAGGTTATAGCAATAATGTGGAGGGCTTTGAATGTCAGGCTAAGAATTCTGTCTGGCCTATTTTTCCCTTGTAGACAACGGGAAGCCATTAAAAGTTTTTTGAGTGAGAGGAGGGATGGTATAACATTCAGACTTGAGCCAAAGGAAAACTAGACTAGCAATAATGTCGGAAACGAATTTTCCTTATGCTCGTGTAGGAGAGACTGGAAGCAGGCATAGACTGCTTAGGCCGGGGGTGGGGAACCTGCGACCTTGAGGCCACACGTGGCCCTCTAAGTCCTGAAGTTCGGCCCTTTGACTGAATTCAAACTACACAGAACAAATCCTCTTAATAAAAGGATTTGTTCTGTAAAACTTGGACTCAGTCAAAAGGCCGAACCCAGGGACCTAGAGGGCCACATGTGGCCTCAAGGCCGCAGGTTCCCCACCCCCTGGCTTAGGCTATTGCAGGAAAAAGGCAAAGGATGACCCAGGTTGATTGGGGGCCATAGGAATAGAAAGAAGGAGAGTCTTAATTACTCAACAACAAAAGAAGATTAGCTCTGGTGTTGGACTAGGGCCAGGAATGAGAACAGATTTGAAAAAAGGACACAGTAACCCAGTGACTGAGAGCAAAAGAGGAGCTGGACAGAGGGTGAAACAAAGAGGCCTTAGAGAGCGATCGATTCTTTAAGCTAAATCTAATTGCGGGAAGAAAGATGGTACACCCAGGACTTTAACTGGAGATCACAACATGACATTTCTGGCCACTGGAGCAGAAGAGTGAGTCAGTGCCCTTCAAAATGTTGAATGTCAGAGGAAGGCCTGGAAGGGATGGCCCCATGTGAAGAGAGTGATGGGGCCCTTGGGGCTTGATTTTCAAAATGGAAATCCTTTGAGTCTTAGTTAGAGAAAGTGGGAGATTACATGGGGAGTTGTCTGAGGGAATCATGGGCTCCCAGGGGCCTGTTTTAGTCTCTAGGTAATACCCAGAATGTAAGTGGCCTGGATAAGAGGCAGAGACAGATGCACAGATTAAAACAGATAACAGAGTGAGAGAGACTGAGGGACACAGAGAGGAATGAGGCAATGGACAGAGAGACACGGGAGGATACAGTTGGGAATTAAGAGAGGAAATAGTATCAGAGTGAGACAGACAAGAGACGCAGAGGAATGAGACATTTGGTCAGAGATACACATGGGTAGAGAGTGGGGAGGGAGAGACACGGAGACGGAGACACACACACACACACAACATACACACAGAGAGAGAACAAAAACACTTCTTGGGCTTAATCCCCAGCTCCCATGGACACGGAGGAGGAGAAAGAGAGCAGTTCTAGATATGCCAGCTGAGGCCCAAGGAGCCTGGGCAGCTTTGCCCACTGAGCTGGTAAGAATTGTGAGCTTCTCTACCAAAGGACTGATTCCCATGGCCAGAGAAATCTGCATTCCAGACTCCTGGAGGTGGGAAGAAAACAAGAGAGGCTCTGAATTAAAAGGACAAAGAGGGCGAGTCTTAAAAAGCAAACATGCCACACTCTCCCCACCCCCTCCACCGCCACAAGCAGACAAAGTTTACTGAAGAAAAACCAGTTTCCTCATCCAGACCCAGCCTGACCCTGCAAGGAGTGTTTTAAGCAGTGTGAGAACCCCTGTATTTTATAGGTAAGTGCTACTTACTTGTTGGAATTTAAGCGAGGTTCTAACCAGCAAGCAGTTGGGAAGCTCCTGATTGAGTTCCCAGGGAAACAGGCTGCAACATTTGCCCTTAAAATACTATAGAGTGGAAAGATCATTGGCTCTGGTGCCCAAAGACCTATGGTTCACATCCCACCTCTGATATCTCATACCTGTGTGTGATGTTGGACAAGTCACGTAACTATCTGGGATTGCAGGGAAATGATGTTCCTCTGAGCAATAGGGCTTTGATCTCATGAACCTATGTCATGTCAAAACTCCATTTCCTTTTCTGATAAGGTTACTATACTGGTAGCTCAGGAAAATGCTGTATAACACTGTGTACGCCAGTTCTATCTTGGCATTTGATGAAGTCTCTGATGATATTTTCTTGAAAAGGAGACGTATGGATTGGATGATAATGAGTGGGTATCAGAGAGAGGTTCCTGGGATTTAGCACTGGAAGTGTCCCTGGAGATCATTCAATTCACTCCTATTATTTTAGGGGTGAGGAACTGATGCCTGGAGGCTTTAAGAGATTTGCCCAAGGCACAGGATTTAGGTAAATAGCTGAGCCAACATTTGAGGCCAGGTACTGACTCCAAATTAAGAGCTCCTTCCATATTGGAATGCTATGCTTCTATGCTATGAATGAAAGACTCCAGTTCAAAGAATATTGATTAATGAATAGAAGTCTCTAGTAATATGCCACAACATTCTGTCTTTGGCCTTATTCTGCTTTGCATTTTTTTATCAGCTATGTAGATAAAGAAGTCGATCACATGATTATCAAATCTCTGGATGACACAAAACTAGAAGGAATAGCTAACAGATTACATGACAGAACCCGGATATGAAAGAGTCTGGCCGGAATGATTCACTTAGTCTAGCTAGATATGATTTAATAATTATATTTATTATACATTATTTATTATACTATTTGTTTATATTTATTATATATGTAAATACATTAACACATTTAATAGATGCAAGTCCTATATTTTCATTCAAAAATAATTTCAAAAGTATATGATGGTGGAAATGCGACTAGACAGTAATTTATATGGAAAAGATATCAAAATTTTAGGACTTCAAGCTCAGAATAAATTAACAATGTGACATGGTAGCCAAAAAAAATCTAATGCCATCTTAATGGACTGAATTCAGAAGAGTATAGTGTCCAGAACAAAGGAAGAAATAGTTCCACTCTACTCCATACTGGTCAGAACCAAAATGGAGTATATCTCCAGAAGGCACACTGTAAGGGAATCATTGACAAAGCAGACCATGCTTCAAGGAGAGTGATTAGAATAGTGAAAGGACTAAAAGTCATATCACAGGCAGGAGGGAAGGGGGGACAGGAAGAAGGGAGGGAGGGAGGAAGGAAGGAAGGAAGGAAGGAAGGAGGAAGAGAATTCAACAAGGACTTATGAAGCGCCTACTATGAACATGACACCATGCTAGGTGCTGTGGATGCTGAGCAAAAAAAAAAAAAAATTCTTGCCCTCAAGGAGCTTTTTGTGCTTCATTTCTAGCTGTTGCCGACTTTTCACGACCCACTTTGGAATTTTCTTGGCAAAGATACTGGAGTGGTTTGCCATTTCCTTCTCCACTTCATTTTTATAGATGAGGAAACTGAAACAAACAAGGTGAAGTGACTTGCCCAGGGGCACACAGATAATAATGGTCTTGAGGCTGTATGTGAACTCAAGATGAGTCTTCCTGACTCCAGATCCAGCACTCTGTGCACTATGGCGCCACCTAGCTGCCCCCTTTTCCTCTACATGACAGATTAATTGCCTTTTAACAGCAGAGAAGCAAACAGAAATAACATATTATGTGATTTTTTTTCCCCCTTGTAGGACAAGAGGCCTCAGAAAAGTCTACATCACAAATGTAATCCCTGGACAAAGGGAGTCACCATTCTCTGGTTTTTGTAGAAACATCACTTCGCGGGGCTGCAGTGAGGAAAATGTTTTGTAAACTTCAAAGCACTATATAAATGTGATGTGCTTTTTTGATAATTAGCCATTGGGCCCTGAGAAAACCTCTTTGCTCCAGCCTTCTTCTGTGAATCAAGACCACACAGAAGATGAGAAGACACATGGTGGGAAGAGAGCTGTCCAGACGATGGGAGATAGAGAGGAAGGATGCTAAGCGGGCTGAAGCCAGGCTTAGCCTAGGACTGCTCAGGCTGGAGGAGAGCCAGCTCTATCGCATGAACACGGTGGCCAGGGAGCAGAGGCAGTTGCAGAAAGAATTGGAGAAGCTGAGACAGGGTAAGACCCGTCTGTCCTGCACTGGAAATGAGTGAAGCAGCCATACATTTCTTACCTACATCAAAGGAAGAGAACCTGCCACAATTTAAAGGTGGTCCTCCGTCAATGTCAGTCAGTGAGAGTTTACAGTTTAGGAGCCTGTGACTTCTTAAAATGAAATGTGCATGCCCTCTAGTCCTCCAAACCAGAGAAAGAAAGGTCCTTTCTGTCTGACCTTAGCCTTCATTTTCATCCGGTCTGCCCTTTAGAGAAGTCACTGGCATTGTAAACATCCCTCCTGAGCCTCCCTCAAATGACTTCCTGAGTGAGCTTTTATTCTCTCAACTGCCAAATTGGCCCATTTCTTTTCTGCTTTTTTTTTTTTTTGAAGCAATGGAGTGAAGTGACTTGCCCAGGGTTACACATTTTTTTTTTTTTTTTTTTTTGGTGAAGCAATCAGGGTTAAGTCAGGTCCTCCTCACTCCAAGGCCGGAACTCGATCCACTGCGCTACCTATCTAACCCAGCCCATTTCTTTTCACTTTCATGACTCAATTTCACCCTTTCCTACCTGCCAATGCCTAGATTCAACCTGTCTTCCACTCTATTCCAATACCTAGTTCAAAATCTCTACCTAGATATTAGAAATCACATAGGCAAACATTTGGAGAATTGTCTCTTTTCCTCCCACGGTGTCCACATGTTCCATCCACACTGAGAGATAGCCCAAGGACGTTTCCTGGGAGTAAAAGATTTGAGATTTTATATATAGATATAGATATGTTTTTGTGTGTGTGCATACACACATAATATATATACATACATGTACACATATATGTGTGTATATATATATATACACACATATATATATATGTGTGTGTCACATACATACACCTTAGGCATTGGTCCTTGTATTCCTTAGACTGTTCTATTTTGTTTCTTTTTATCCAAAGCAGACAACTCCAAGAAAAAGTTTTCATCTTTTGGCAATGTTTTACTTGGGACTCAGAAGCAGCCAGAAATTCCTATGATTCCCCAACAGGGAGGTCAGAGGCGCAGAACTGCTGAACCTGGCGGCATTAGGTAAGGAAATGCTTAGAGACCCAGTGTCTTAGGACATGACTGTACGCTATTCACTTGAATAGAACTCAAAACATTTATTTCTGTGTGAAAGGGGAAACAAATGTGACAACAGACCTTGTTATCAAGTAACTTACAAGGTGATCGGGCAAAGAACAATTTCAAAAATATACTGAGGAATTTTCCCTGTCCTAGAGTTGCAGCAGCCTGCACTAGAAGCAGCCACGTAGACCCACCAGTTTTACTCTTCTCTGCCTTTTGGAGATAACAATGTGAGTTGCTAAGAAGCAGCCTGCGTAAGCCCTACATGTACCAGATGCTAGACAGAGCCTTTCTCCTAAGGTTACCTCCCATATACCCTGCATGTAACTTGCACATACCTTTTTACTTATATGTTATGTCCCTCCATTGAAATATAAGCTTCTTGAGAACAGGAGCCATTTTTGCCTTTCTTTGTATTCACACCACGTGGCACAGGGTCTAGCCCATGGCAAGTTCTGGATAAATGCTTGTTGATTTATTGACTGTATAAACTGCTGAAGAGATGGCACCTAGCACCCTTTGCTTAAGGAAAGCTGAAGAGCAGAGAACAGCAGCAAAACTAAGTTCTAATGACCCAAAGTAGCTTAATGGGTGACTAGAAAACTGGCAAAAGACTGAAGGGTAGAGCATAGGTGTGGAGGAAGGAATCCCAACCTGGGGACCCACCCAGGACAGAACTATGTCACAAAGACTATGCCCTTGGAGAAGGGTGCTTCATTCTAGTGAGTGGCCCAAGTGGAGTGTTTCTGGACTCTCTCTCAGGGAGCAATGAGTACGACCAATCCGATGACTCATTTTTCAAGAACAAACCTGGAGAATCACCGTCTCCGCAATTCAGGACCTCAGAAACCCTTTGAAAGAAGTTAGTCATCGGTATGTCTGAGTTCTATGCTTTACCCATAGTGATGTTAAGACAAAAAAACTAGAAAGACCAGGAAGCATGTGGACTATGAAAACCTTAAGAAGAGAATTAAGATCAGCATACCAAGCCATAAGTTCAGGACACCCTGGATTGCCTGCTGGGCAACCAGTAGCTTTCCATGGTGGAGTGTATGTGTACATGGTAGACAGCCTTTACCATTTCTGGTGGGGTTCTATCAATTTGAGTGCGTGACAGAAAGTATTTCCAGGACGCGAGCCACTTTTCAGTGGCTCACGGGAACTAACTTTTAGAGGTGTTAGTTCATTTGGATGGCCTTGCCCTTTACTAGTCTACAAAAACATGGAGACAACTGAAGCTGAAGGTTATTGGTCTAAACCTCAGTCAGTTTTTTTTTTTTTAGCCTCTCTCAAGTGTGTAGGTCATTCAAATTACTGTGATTACAAAGAAGTCACATAATCACAGAATATGAGAGTTGGAACATACCTTAGGGGCTAGTCTAACCCATCCATAAAAGGAACCTCCACTGGAACACATATGCTCATACAGCACCTTCCTGGTGGGGGAGCCTACCTTCTCCTTCGGTGTGGAAGCTAAGTGCAAAGGAGACGTCTAGGACTATGAGAAACGTCACAGGGAAGACATCACATGTAGCTAGAGGCCAGGGAATGCTCCGTGGAAGAAGTGTTCCCTGAGGAGAGTCCTGAAGAAGATGGGGGATGGGAGGGTCCATCAGACGAGAGGGTGAGGATGTGAAGAAAGACAGAACTAGGAGAGGGCAGGCCCTCAGAAGTATAACCTCTTTATTTCCTAGAAAATCTCCTCGAATCCACTTTTCTCTCTTGAGGGAACAAAGAGACTCATTCAATAAATACCAACTCCTCTCAAGCAGGCACAAAGATCCCTCATTCCCTCCCCAGTCCACCACCACAACATGCTTGCCTCATCTGATCTCCTGGAGAAGGCTTCCATGGTTCAGGAAAAACTTGCAAAAAACAGATAAAAACGACTTCCCCCTCAAGGTTCGTATGGCACTTTGCCTGGACCTCCCTTCTGTACTCCCCTCACTCTCTCCAGTATCCTGGTTATTTCTTCATTTGTCCTGACACTTGTAGAGAGCAACTTCCATTGGCCCATCGAGTTGGAAGAAATCTTAGAGGTAATCTAGTCATTCCCTCTCATTTTACAGATGAGGCAGCTAAAGCCCAGAGTGATAGGATGATTTGCTAAAAGTCACGTGAGTATTAAGAGGGAGACTTGAGGTTTTGATCCAGATTTGGTATGTTTTCCATTGTACTATTTCTCATCATGTTTTTCTATCTCCAATGTCTACCAGGGGGCCTTGCCCAAAGCAGGTGCTAAACATTTGCTGAATTGTGTCACAGAATTGTTGAATTGAATCATGAGCCCCTTCATGGGTACTTAAAGGTCTTTTCTCCCTTTCCCAGAATAGAAACTCATCTGCTCCAAACTAAGGAATGTGAAATCTCCAAATCTACTGAGATACCAAGTTTGCATCCTATAGACTGCATAAAGAACAAAGAAGAGGCATTTTCTCAAAGCCCCAGGGCCTCCCTTGGAGGTGGACCTAAAGCCCTAAAAAGAAACTCAGTCACAGTCATTAACCCAGGCAAGGACAGAGATTCAGGTATCTCTGCTGACCTCCAGAAGCCTGGAGCCTTCAGCAAAGCAGAACAAGCCCCTGGTGCTCCCCCAGGTGAAAGCAAGGTGATAGAAATTATGGAGGCCAGCCCTGGTGGGGGTGTTGGCCCAAAGCCTGGCAGTCATACTGGAAAACAGACTCCAGGTAGAGAGATGCCAACCTTTGATCCCAAGGTCTATACTCTTTACAGTTACCTCAGGACAGTAGACACAATGCCAACTTACCTGGAACTCTTTGCAAAGGTCAAGAATGCCCGCTACCTCCGGCATAGAGTTCCGCCTGAATTTGAGAGGGAGCTCAGCATAGGGGAAATATTTGGAAATGAAACATGCTTACAGCCCAGGGAAGGAAGTGAGTCTGATGAAAGCCTAAGCATTTGAGGGACCTCTCTGGTCTCACTTTGGTCTTGCTGGCCAATAGCATGAGTTAGAATCTCTGGCTAGATGTACCCTTAAAACATCGTCAGCAGGAAGGAGGAAAACCAAAAACAGGGTATGACACAATCCAATTTAGAAATCCTATACATTCATTTCTTCTGCTGCGCTACACTAAGAGAATTAACTAGGAAGACTAAACTTATTAACAACATAAAAAAGTAACCTTCTGAAAAACTGTAATACTACATAAATGCTAAATAGTGCTAATAATAAGAACCTACATTCTGATCTATGCCTGAAAAGAATCATTTTGATTAGGCATCCACCATGCCTGTCTTGAGGACCTTCCAGTGCTGCCATCTACTGGCAAAGTGACAGAACATGCTCTCCTTAACTTGCAACCACAATAACATCACAATAAGCAGTCATTTCTACAGCACTGTGATATTTGCAAAGTGTTTTGCATATATGATCTCACTGGAATCTCACAATAATGAAGATATTAATAATACCCCTATTTTACAAATGAGGAAATTGAGGGTCAGGGATATTTAAGTGGCTTGTCTACTGTTATACACAAGTAGGATTTGAAGCCAGGTTTATACCAATGTTGAATTCAGCATTTTTTCCACTAGGCCTAATGGTGAGAATAGAGCAGGAAATCATTACAGGTAGAAAAGACCTTGGAAAGTATCTAGTCTGTTTTCTCCGTGCAACTGAGGAAAGAGAATCACAAAAGCAAGATGTGGGCCCAAAGTTGTTGTTCAGTTGTTTCAGTCATGTCAGACTCTCCATGAGCCCATTTGGGATTGTCTTGGCAGAGATACTGGAGTGGTCTACCATTTCCTTCTCCAGCTCATTTCACAGATGAGGAACTGAGGCAAATAGGGTGAAATGACTTGCCCAGGGTCACACAGCTAGTATCTGAGACCAGATTTGAGCTCTGGTCTTTCTGACTCCAGGCCTGGCACTGTACCGGCCCTGTCCTATTGAAAACAAATAATCTCCTCTCTTCATTCCATGACCTTTGCTTGCTGCCTTTATTTCTAAGGTGCTCAGGTTTAGTTTCCCTGCCACCCCTTAATCTAATGACAAAAATCTTTTCAGTCCTAGCAAGAGAGCAGAGCACAGTTTGGCAAAAACGGTCCAATTCACTGGCAGCTAAGCTTTTGGAGTGTTTCTATCCTGCTCCCTATACGGCACACAGTCAACACTTTAGGCAGAGAAACAAATTCAAAGAAGGCAGCTTCAGACAAAGCTGATTATTAAAGTGACTTCTTATTTTTTTAAATGTTTTATTCAATCCCAGCTAACCCAAACTCTATACTACAAATTGTCCTAATTAAAAAGAAAATAGTCACCCCATAACACATAACTGTATGTAGGTCAACACTGATAGGCAACACTGAGGTTTGTATTTTTCCATGCTTGCAAGGAGGGAGGGTTGCTTTGGACTTTGGTTTTTTCCATCCCCAAGGGGCTGTAAATTTCCACAGGATTAAGTGAAAAGGTTTCAAGACCCTTGTCTTGCATTCATAAAGTTGTTACAAAGCAAATAAATCTTATTAAGCATAAAGAAGAGTCACCAAAATTCTGGACTTCTGTCCATAAGTCTCGGCCAGTAACACTAAAGGACAGTGGTGGTTACTTCCAAATGTAGTTGTGTACATGGTATACATAAAAGAAAGGTGCTAGAAGTCAGGGTTGTTGTTTTATGTCTCCCTCTGAGACACATAGACTCTCTTAGGCACAATGGACCTTGACAGGGAGGGAAGGCAAAAATTCACCATTAAATCCCTCCTGGCCTGACTTCTCCCTTTGAAGTTTAATGAGGAAAACTGTAAAGTACCAAATTTAGGTTCTCAAAAGCCAACAGCACAAGAACAGACTGGGGACAGCCAGGCTAGCTTGTGTGAAAAGTGAATTCAGCTGATACACTAACACAACTCTACAGAACCTTACCATTTACAAGCCTGTGAGACAATTAACACAAAGTTTTTATATCTCCATTTTACTACATGAGGAAACTGAGTCTCAGAAGTAAAGATGCTTATCTGAGGCAACACAACTGGCTTCAGAGCCCAAACCCAAACCAAGGTCTTCTGACTCTGAATCTAATATTCTTCCCTTCTATGCAATGTTACCTCTCAGATTATTAAAAAAAAAAAAAGTCAGCTACTTCAAACATCATAAAAAGTACAAGGACTAGGTCATACAGGTCTTCAAGCTCCTTAGTGCTAAGTAGAATAAAATAAAATTATAAACCTATATCAAATGTTGCCTTTCTCTAATGCAGGGTTGGGAAGAAGGAAGGGAGACAACTTGGAACTGGAAATGTAATCAAAAAGAATAAATAGTTAGTTTTGTTTTTTCTTAAAGAGATCATAGAAGTTCAGAAAGGGTTACACTATTTTTTGATAGCTGAGGACCATCATTCTTCATCCCCAAAATAAGTTGTCCTTGAACTGCAATTTATATCTACCAATGGCCTTCGCTTTGCAGTAACTTGGACCACAACGTTCTGACCTGTTAACTTTATTTTATCATCCCCAAAAAGCACAGTGTTTCTAGAACAGCTCATACCAAAACAAGCTAGTTTTATTTGGAACACGTCAACGCACTGGAGATTCATGACAAAGAGGGCGAGAAGTTAACTCCTCTTTCACTGGCTGGGAAGCAGACTCATGATAAGTGAAGTGATTTTCTCAGGAAGACATTAACGCTGGCAGAATCCAGAATTCTAGCTTGATCTTAGATTTTACAGGGTAACACCCTCTCCTTATTTGAGAGGGATGGAGCCATACCTGCTTGTACAGGACTCTATCCCCTGCTACTAGGAAGCCTAGGGCTGGAGGATTGCTTGAGTTGAGGATCTCTGGATCACAGAAGGACTAAAGCTGATCAGGTGCCTGAGTCAAGTCCAGCACCAATACGGTGGGCCCTCAGGAGCTGCCCAAAAAGGGTGAACTGGTCCAGGATGGAGAAGCAGAACACCTTAAAACTTCCATATCAATCAGCATGGGGATGGGGCTCCTGAGTGGCCACGATACTTCTACCCTAGGCAAGACAAGGAGACCATCTCCCTGTTCCCCACAAAAAAAATGAGTGAACACCTGTCCAGTGAGGCTTGCTTTGGTCCTAATTTTCAGCTATGGAATAATTTACACTACAAATGATAGTTACCTATTTATGTAAATCACAAAACACCCTTTTCCTTCTAAGAGATGAGATGTCACACATAGTTTAACCAGGTTATCAGGGAGAAATAAGGCACAGAGCAATATTAAAGAGGTCAACTCTCAAGGCTATGATTGGAAGTAGTGATAGAAATAACAAATGAGTTGTTTCTAACTGGATGTTTAAGAAATGAGATTTCCCCCCTCTTTTCTCTTATAGGATAGAAATGTGTACATGCGAGCACATACACACACACACACACAGACCCACACACACACATATCAGGGAGAGGGAGTCAAGATCTCCTGGTTGTTCTGCAAACGCACATCAACCAAATGAATAGACGTAGAAGCCCTTAAAAGCATTTTGATGCCCAAAAAGCCCAAAAAGCATGTGATGGTTCTAAGAAATTCATTTTTCACTCCCGCTATCCAGTGACTTGGCTCTGATGGCCCCAAAGCGCTTTTCCAGGTCCAGCAAGTTTTGGTAAAACTTTTCAGCAGTCTCTTCATCCAGATCCATCTGCAAGAGAAGCAGAAATAGGGATACCAAAGGTCCCACGGGGGAAGGGAAAGTGAAGGAAAGTATCCAACAGAACTGCAAGCAGGAGAAGGTAAAGAGGCTTGCCAAAGAGCATTGCTCCAATAGTGATATGGGGCAAAAAAAGGGGCTTCTTTACCAGAGGGGTCCCATTCAGAAAAAGTCACTACAATTTGAAGATGACACAGAATTCATACTGCCAAGATGTGAGAAAAGTGCCGAATTCAGGGAAAAGCTCAGGACCATAAATCTGGGTCCAATACAAATATATTTGTTTCTATGATGTTTATCAGGGGAAAAAAAAATCTCTTCCTTCCAACTTTGTATTCATCCAGCTTGAGAAATTACAACGTATATTTGCAGTCAATGAAGTCAGGCAAAGAAGGCTGAACAATAGTTTGTCTTGAAAATGACAGAGACTAGGGGAAGATGGGTAGGTAGAAACAATGATTTTGAAAAGGGAAGAAAAGAATGAAAAGAACAATGAAACACTGGAAATACACAGAAGAGAAAAAAAGGAAGTTCGGGAAGAGTCAAAGATCAGCAGGGCAACGGTTGTAAAACAGTGTTAAATTTTTATATACACACATACGTATATAATATATAATGTATGTATGCATGCCTATGTAAATAGCTACACATACTAGATTTACAGTTTCATATACAAGCCTCTTATTCTCTTCATTACATATGGAAAATTTATGTTTGATGCTTGTCATGTTCATAATACAAGAAAAAAAATTTAGATAAATTTTTAAAAAAGAAAGGAAGATCACACCAGGGCACAGCTCTCCCCAACCCTCTAACAGGTACTCTTTTCAGCTAATGAGCCTGTCACCAGTTCCTGTCACCAAGCTGTCTTTAATGGAGCTTACCTTCTGAGGGCTTACATAATTGTTTCCAAGTCCCGTGGTAGCACTGTGATATTTGGTCAAGGGATTCAGAAACTCAGGCTTTTGTCGGAAAAGCCATAACTAGAAAGGAGGAGGAAAGAGTGCATGAGTCATACCTGTCTTAAGGTAAACCTTGATACCAAGTACTTTAAATAGCTTTGAACAAGTTTTAAAAGCCCATCAATCATCATTTGGTAAAGTCTTTCAGCTCTAAGATCCTATCATTGCTCAACAGCTACATGGGCTTGTTGAGCAATTCAATCCAAGGGCAGGAAGAAGGACGACTGAGTGACCAGCTAGACTCCTCTGTAAATTATTTTAAGTTAAATAAGATAGGACTGGCCTTCAAGGGCTACCTTAAATACCAGGAAAGAAGTCTATTTCCTTCCTTAAAGACACACAGTTTATACCATTAAACGGTATAGCTCATTGATCAAATGGTATTTAAAATGAACTGGATTTAAAGACCTATTTCTAAATAGACACTCCAAACATACATACATACATATATTTATATATATGTGTGTGTGTATATGTGTATCTACATACACATATGTATATACATGTCTATTTTAAACATGCTGTGTGTTTCATATTATCATCTAGTGAAAAATTATTAGTAACATTTTCCTGCTGGAGTTTGAAAACTGGAGAGCTAAACCAAATTTCCAGGCCTATGTCCAACCATTCAATCAAACTGCCCAAAGCACTGATGAGGCCCTCAAACCATGGCACGGCAAGGTGAAAATGTTATCTTCACCAACACATTCTTGTAACCTTCTCTCCAGGGTAAAAGAACTCTCCAATGAGATAATAGCGCTCCTCAAATCTCCAGATACTACATACATGTTAGCTGTTAATTATTTTTTCCCATAAATCAGAACCAGTTCCAGTAAAGTTAAAACACAGTTAAATCAGAAAAGGCAACGGTAGACAATATTGCCTTGCACCTGAGAAGCTGATTTCACACCCCAGCCTTTTAAATCTGTAAACCCTTTAAGGCCCAAACCAAGCCCCACCTACTCTGAAGCCCCTCTCAACTAACCCAGCCCACTCTAATATCTCCCTTCTGTAAAGTATGGCATCTATACCATATCTGCACAACTTGGCAGTAGGTAGGGGCCAAACTTAAAATAGGCTAAACTTCTTTGGGCCATAGATAGGTTTTTAGCGGCTCACTTTCCAAGTAAAGGTAACTAGAGACAGACTGACAATGGTTGGTTGCCACGGGTCATGTGACAAACAAGACAGTACGTAGTGGCAACCCACTCACCAAGTTACATGATAGGCACAACAGTGACTAGTGGAAGGCTGGTTAAGCAAGGTATGGACAAATACTCGTTACATCTTTACTTTCTTTTATATCCTCTACATTTTTTGCAGGTCACCCAAAATTCTTTGACAAGCCACAAGCAGCCCACAGGCCAACTGTTATACAGGCCTGGTCTATACCACATAATTGAACACTTGATTATATAACATTTCACACTGTTTTCTGTGCCTGTATTTTAGAGTTGTCTTTCCTATCTTTCTTTTGTATTCCCATTGCACCCAGCACTAAGCTGCACCCACTGGAGGCCTTCAAAAATACTTGTCTTGATCAGTCCTGAAAAAGGTAGGCCCTAAATGGCTCTGTAACTGTAGACATGGAGACTGGGAGGAAGCTGCCAACACCATCCAGTTGGTTGCTGAGATGAAGGAATTTCCTCTCCTCTGTCCCCAACAAGTTGTCATATTGGCTGTGCTTGGAGATCTCTATACAGTGAAGGGAACAGAGTTTCACAAGGCAGTCCATGACACTTCTGCGCTTCTCTAATGGTAGGGCATTCTTCACATTAAACCTCTGGGGGTGCCTCTGGGCTATCCCTGTCCATTGCCCTTAGCTAGGACTAAGCAGAACAGGTGTCACCCTCTTCCCAAAGGCATTCCTTCCAATTCTTAAAGACAGCGGGCACAGCAACCTCAGCCTTTTCTGGCTTCCTTTTTTACAGAGAGGGTGAAACAAAAACCACCTTAAGGGTTAAAGCCTCCACAATTAACTTGTCCTCTACCACCAATCATATTGATTCCAAAAACATTTCCCAAGATGAAGGCATAAAGGCCACTTTTCTTTCATCCCAGATTCCAGGCACTCTAAAGGTGCTGTATCTCTGTCATCAACAACCATTAAATTTCAAATTCTTATCTCTTAGGCCATTTCCCATCAAGGCTCCAGGGACATACCAAGGCTTCTGCTCCATTGTAAGGTGTGGTTGTTAAAGAATTTACAAAAAAGCGCAGCTGAAGAAAGAAAAAAGAAAATGCCATTTGTTCACATGTAAAGATTACCAGGGACATGAAAAACATTAGTTGTTCAACTTCTAGCATATAAATCCTTGGAAGAAGCATAACCCTCCCAGAATTTCTTGTATCACCAGTACATAAGATTTTAATAAAGCTCAGGTCTCTTCACAGCTGAGTGTTTACCCATTCCTCAGAGATGACAGCCATGTTGGGAATTACAACATGGCCTCCCTAGAGACTCAAAAGGGCACTTAATGTCTACCAGAGAATAAAGCAACCGTTGATCCCGTACTCTGGAGTTCTCGGGTCCTGATCCCCCAGGATAAGCTCAGTTCTTTTCAAAGAGCAGACTTACCGGGTTACTCTTCAGTTGGAGTTGCTAACTAATCTCTGCTCACATGCTATAGTCTCCACCACGGAAACACAATTAGCACACCTCACTACTCCCCAAACTATCAATTACGTATCAAAGGCCTACTGAAGAGATCTAGTTGGCTGGGAAATGAACACCCAAGCCATTCCTTATCTTGCATGTAAGAATTAGTTAAGAACTCATAATTATCCAACGTGGGGATGGACAAAGGATAGAAAGTCCCAAACTCCTATAGTTATTATAACATAAGAGCCAAGCAGAGTAGCACAAACCTCTATTCATGGAAAAAGAAGAAAAGAAAAACAGGCCCTTCAAGGTTGAGTCATATAATCCAATGACCTCAATTAACCTTCTCATTTTACAAATTGAGAAATGGAGTCCACAGTGAGAGGTAAGTTGCCTAAGGTCACTCTGCCAATAAGTGGTAAAGCCAGGGATAGAACAAAGCTTTCCTAATTTAAGGTTCTCATAAACCAGAAAAAAAAAAAGTCTACTCTGAAGGAAAATATCTAGAACTCAGAAATGCACATATTAGGCTCTAGAATTCTAACCTGTGGCTTCAGGACATCAAAATCACTCATATTTAGGAGACAAAAAGTTTCTCCAGAGACATGAATAAGTCTGTAGATACAGACAACTAAATTAAAGGTCACTGAGAGAAACATACCAGAATAGCTGATATATGAAACTGCTAGAAATCAGGGAAATTAGGAGAATTGTAAGGTAGCCATCTTCTAAAAAAGATGGCTTCTGTTAGGGTAGGATACTAGCTTACTGACAAGTAAATATTCAGATGAAATTGGGTTGGGAAACTGTGTAGGGTTGTGCACAAGTTACCTATTAAACAGGCTTTGAATTTTACTAAAATCACAGGATACACTAATATTCTAGTGAGCAAATCATTTCCCTGCACCGAAATTTATCTGCTATGATCTCAAGGTGAATATATTTGGAAAAATCATGAAGAAAGAACATATCACTCACCAAAAATAGTAATGGAGTCAATAGTGTCCAGATGAAAGGTGGCAGAATTCCATAAGTCAGATTGGTCAGCACAATCCCTGGGCACACTACACTGGAGTACAGGCCCTGGCAATATGGACAGATGGGAATGGGGGAAATGGGACAGATTAAGAAAGAATAGCCTTTTAAGGTATTCCTTCCTACAGCTACTAAATTTCTGAAGTCTTATGAATAGTCAAGGGTGGGGAACCTGCAGCCTTGAGGCCACATGTGGCCTGAATAAACCTTCAACACTGCAGGATCTATAATTCAATCAGCATGGTACTCTTCCTCCACTGATGCAGATTATAATTCTTCTTTCTATTCGCATAAGACACTGTCTTCAAGATTTATTGTGGTCAAAAAAATTCAGACTGAGGCCAATCTGGAACAGGGTCCCTGCAACCTTAGGTAGACTTGGCCTTGCCCGACAGCCAGTCCATCACTTGGCAGGAATTTGAAGCCTTCTCAGATTGGTAGGATCTGCCATGGCTCACATGGTGGTCAAAAGAGGCAGTACAAAGACACGTTCGAAGTCTAAGGAACTTTAATACTGATTGTGAGACAGGGAGATGCTGGCACAGGACCATGCAACATGGCATGCCTGCATCAAAGAAGGAGCTGTATTCCAAGAATAAAGCAGAATCACATAGTACCAAGGAAATGTGAGATGTGCAAATCTAGAAATACCACCACTCCAAATGTTCAAATGGACTATTTGTGCCCAATCTGAGGTAGAGCCTTCCCAGCTTGTATTGAACTGATCAACCACAATGGAACATACATACCTTGACCCCAACATCCGGAGGTCTTTACTCTTCTTGGAATACTAAGGACAAACAATATTACTTGCAAGAAACAGGAGAGACTTCTACTTACCACCATGAGGCATCTGTGTAAAGCTTTCAAGCCCTGTGCCATTGGCTCCAGGCCATCTCTCCAGAACAACTATACATTAATCCACCTTGCATGCTTTATATTCCAATCAAAGGCCCACTTCCTGCTCCCCACACATAAATTCCCATCTCTGTCTTCCTACAGACTGTCCCCCATGCCTGAAAAGCACACCTTCCTCCTCAATTCCTCTGGGAGCCTTCTATAAGCTTCTTCTACCTCCTACAAGCTGCATATCCTGATTTCCCTAATTATTAGTGTTCCCCACCACCCCACAAATGTTTTGTAGATATTCTGTATTTAACATCTATTTTTCTACCCAGTGAAGTATAACCTATTTGGGAGCAGGAACAATTACTTTTTTGTATCCCTCAGCACCCAAAACTTTTTTTTTGGTCCCCACCTTCTGTGACTTCACTGGTACCAGGAATTCCCAGTGAGAAAACTCTGTTTATCTACATAGGTCATTTGATAGTGTTAGAGAACTGCTAGGGAAAATGAAAGATTAAATAACTTGCCCAGGATCACACAGTGGTGAGACCTGAAGCCAGGTCTTCCTGATTCCTATGCCAACTCATCTGTTATGCTACGCTGCCTCTCCCACCTGGCATGCTGCAGGTGATCAAACAATGCTTGCTGAATTAAATTCAAAAACTTTCTCATCTTTTATCTTATTTGATCCTTCCCTGGTGAGTTAGGCAAGTCAGACAGTGCTATTTCCACTTTAGAAATAGAAAAATAGAGAAATTAAGTGACTTGTCCAGGATTCCAGCACTGGCCGATAAGAGCACTAGAATTAGAGCCTGGGTCTTTGGCTCCCAGAAGGAGCTCTACCCAGGCCAGGGTGAATTCTGCTGTTTTCATCAACACTCAGGGGCTTGTATTTAGCAAGCACAGTATCTCGCACCTGGCAAGCACTTAACGAAGTCTTGTTTCCTTCCTTCCTTGTATTTCCCTGTCAAGATTAGGATCAAAGAGTCCCCCAAACTCACAGCTCCTACCATCTTTTCAGCAGTCAAGTCCACTAACAAGGACAAACCTTCCCAAACCTTCAGACCTGTGGCTGTCTCAGTGGTGTGATTTTGCAGTGAATTTAGCAATCACCATTAACTGAAAGAGCCAAACAACTATTGGATACACTATACAATCTAGTAGGACACAACATTTTAATATAGAAATTTAAGGTCCCAAAGAATCACAGGTGGCAACTTGAGAACCACAATGTGCACATTACTATTTTAACCATTTTGTTTTTCTGCTGTTTCTTGTCATTATAGCATTCAAGTCAGATCAATAGTAAAAAAATACCCTGAAATCTCTCTGATCATTATATAGGCCAGCTGCATTGTCAGGAATAAAAAAAAAACTCATATTTCACATAGTGTTTTAGGGTGTTCAAAGCACATTCTTTATAATCCCGTGCAGAAGGCAATGTAATCTATCCTCCTACATTTCTGTGACATTTGCAAAAATGCTTGACACCAAGTATCACCTGTGATTCAGCTTCCCAATAAACCCTGTGAGGGAGGTGCTACTAGTACTATTATCCTCATTTTATACATGAGGAAACTGAATCTCAGACAGTATAATGACTTGTCCATGACCACACAGCTAACCACTATCTAAGCCAGGATTTGAACCTACTCTCTTCACTCCAAATCTCCCAAACTCTTAAGCACCTCCTCACCTGTTGGTTAAAATTCCTGTTCAAAGCCAGACTCAGAAGGTCAGTGGCATATTTAGAAGAGCTGTAGGGTTCATGGCCTTTGACATGCTGGAAATCATCTAGGCTGAAATTAGCTTTCTTGGCATTGCTAGAAGACGTCCAGATGACCTGAGATGGAATGTCAGGACAACAAAGCAGAGGCTCCAGCTCCCGAATCTGAGATAAAAATAAAAATCTTCTTTTAGGGCTACTGGGTAAGTCTATAGGAGCTCTCAATGTTTACCAAAAATACATGAGTCAAAGGAACCAAAACTCAATCCATAAACACCACAGTGAATGTCACTATAATATCATTCCTCCAGCTATCAACTAGTTTGGAAGGTTGGCTTCTAATATCCATGATTTTAACATGAAGGATAAAAGGTCCTCCAAAATCAAATTCTGACAACACAACATAAACAACCCCAATAGAGAAGACAGCAGGAGACTGGAGAGAATACTTAGAGTGAGATGTGAGTGCACAAGGAACCCTTTGATGAACTAAGAGTAAAAAGACTTACATATAAGATGGAGCAGATACAAGGCCATGCAACCAAGGATGAGCAGGATGAGATGGCACAGATCTGTAAGAATGTCAAGAAAACTAAAGCGCAAAGGAAAAGTTTTTGCAGGTTTCAACTAAGAACAACAACAAAAGGTTTCCCAAACTATATTCAAAAAAGAAGAAAAAAGAGAAGTCCATTGTTTGGCAGCAACATTACAGTATTAAAAGGCTGTACTGCTTCTATTAAGGAGAATTATTTTCAAACCTGAATGGAGAAAAGAAAAAACAGAGAGAGTTAAGTTCAATTTATGTGAGGAATGTCATGCCAATCTGAGTTCATGTGGCCCCAACAAAGAACCTGTAGCTACGGTCAATGGTCTTTGGAGAATCACGGAGAAAGGAAAGATATTGGAGGGCTGAAGTCAGGCAAATAACATCCCTATTTTCAAAAAGGAAAAGGCAGATTGTCTGTTAAACAGACAACCTGATAACTATTACTCACAAAATCCTAAAAGGGATCATCAGGCAGATGGTTTGTAAGCACTTAGAAAAGGAAAAAGTAATCACAATGAATCAGCATCAGAACATCAAGAACATATTATGCCAAACGATTCATTTCCTTCTGATAGTTACTAGGGTAGCAGGCCAGGAGAATGCTTTATATACAGTAAAATGCCTTGCTGAAATCTGGATTTACTAGCCTTTAGTTTGGATGATAGCTAACGAGGTTAAATGACTGAACCAAAATTCTACTAATTAACAGGTCACTATGAATCTAGAAGGTCCCTGGTGGCTTGCCACAGACCAAGCCAGTTTGGTTCTGCAAACCATCTTAGATGTGTTAGATTGTGTTGTCATCTGTCTTAGATGAAGACAATACAAAGGATTTGATCATTAAGTCCGCAGAGGGCTCAAAACTGAGTGGGACAGCTGATGCACTGGGTTAAAGAAATTCAATCCAACAGGTTAGACCCAAATCTAATAAGAAGAAACAATGTCTTACACTGAAGACGTCGCTGCACATGTAAAAAGAGACAAGTCAGTTAAAAGCAATTCTTATGAAAGACTCTAAGACAACAGAATGGGGTGGCTGCCAAAAATGTCAGTATAATTTTTTTTTAAGTCTGGACCTGCAGTTTCAATAGAGCAGGTAAGCTCCCAAGTAGAAAACTCCCTTTACCAATGCAGATCAGCATCTAATCTGCAACTTACAGTATTAGAGAGTTGTCTAGGACATTGAAAGGTTAAATGACTCACTCAGGGTCCCATAGCTAACAGATCTGACCTAAGTCTACCTGGCTCTGAGGCTCAACTTCTACCCACTATGCCATGCTATCTTTGATGTGATCTTGGGCTAAAACGATAAGCATTCACAACAATGGAGGAGACAGTTCCAACGCACCTTGAGTTCACCACACCAGCCCTGGAATGTTATATTTCGTTCTGGGTACCATATTTTAGGAGGACCATTGAGAAAATGGAGAGTATCTACATGAGCACCACCACAATAAAGGAATCATGTTACAGATGTAGATGGTTTGAAGAGCAGGGTATACCTAACCTTTAAGACAGAAGATTTAGGAGAACTTAGTGTCTTACAAACGGATGTCACTTAAAAATGTATTAAATTTCATTGCAATCTGCCTATATTTGAGGGGCCAACATACAAAAGAGAGATTAGACTTATGCATGGATGTGGAACAAGGAAAAACAAGAACCAAAGAAAAGGTATAGAGGCACACTTCACCTCAGCATAAGGAAGAATTATAATCAGAGTGATCCACAAGTGGAATGGACTAGCTCTTAACATAGAGTTCTCTATCATTAGAAGTAGTCAGCAGCTAAGTAAGACTTGTCAGGGATGTTGTACAGGAAATTCCTACTACCCAGGGAGTTTGATAAAATGACCTCTAAATTCAAAAACTGTTTCTGCCGCTAAGATATACAGTTCTATGATTCTTTACACCCAGACCTACAAGATCCAGCTTTTGTTTCCTACAGTGTATTATAGCAACACAAATGAGATCTGAAAACCCAAATCAAAGGGAATCAGGAATCCAGGTAGAAGACAAGTAAAGATGAGTAGGCTTTGTTTGAAGAAAATAAGAAGTCTTTGGTGGGAAGGGAGAAGAAGAATCTCCCACCAAAATGCCACACAAATAGGAGATGTGAATGCTTAAATGCTTTAAACAGGAAGTATTCATGATCAAAGAAAAGTAAGGGGAAAAAAAATCTATCTTCCATGTATATTATGAAAAATTAAAGAAGAGGGGGAAAGAAAAAGGCAAAATGTAAAGAGGAATAATGTACATTCTAAGGAGTAAAAAGGAAATAAGTAGACTTCTTATAAATTATTACTTCATACTTCTGTGATTAAGTTATATCCATACTTTATAGCACTTAACTATCAGCTGTCCATAAGAAACAGCAAGTGACATAATTATCCCTGGCCCTTAACTAGGGGGATCCCTAGCTGGGACATGGATAAGATCACTATCACTGTCTCAAGAGGCTAGCAGGTTGAGGAGAGGGCAATGGTACCTGCTAGTTAGTGCTGGAAAAAAAAAGAGAGTAATGTGAAGCACTAATATACACACAATTAGCATGTATATACATACAGTGCATCCTTTAAGCTGCATGTTTTCCTTACATAACATCTCTTTTCCCTTTCAAGGTTTCCCTTCATATTCATCAGCCTGATTTGCCTCATTGGCACTCCTTTAAGGATGGCTTCCAGCACAGTGTGGTCCACTGTAGGACCTCATTTCTTTTCCAAAGCAAGCAAATGAAAGCTGGTATGTGAAATAAGACTCTGGAGTTGTTGGGTTAAGGAAATGAGAAGACTGATCAAGTGTTAGACTTGGGCCATAGAAACAACCAGAGAAATACTAGACCTCATCTTGTACCAGACAGTGTCTGGTGGGACAATGAGGTATCACCATGTCAGAAATTCCAAAGAGACTGGATTAATGCCAGATATGTTTACAGGACCAGTGAAAAGACAGAGCAATGGAAATAGGGAGAAAGTCCTTGGCCTGAACAGGGTTAGGAAATTCTGAGTCATGAAGTAGGTGTAAGTATCTGTTTGACTGAACAATCTACATGATATGAAGTGGTATCTCCCAGGACAAGTGGGGTGCAAGAATGGACGTGCCTGATCCTAAGAAAATAAGATAAACCCAGGTGGGGGGATAAGGGGGGGGAATGCCAGAAACAGTTCATGTGTGTTTTGTATATTAAGCTCTTATTTTGCCATATTTCTGTAAGGGGGGAAGATACAGGATTAATCTGGGCACAGGAGAATTTTCTCCTATTTACCTGTACTAGTAGGACAGAAGCAATAACATGGATAATAAAAAATGGCAGAAACATCAAAATTCTATTCAACCAGAGAATCCATTATCCCAATAACTGCTGGTGGCAGATTTACAACCCAAAACCCACAAAGACAGCAAGATCCTGTTTCTTTAGAACGTGCTCCCTAAGTGGCAAGGGGTAGGGGATCAAGAGTATTTTGGACATAAGGAAATCTGAACTTTGTTTATAAAAAAAATTGACCGAGCAGATGAAAAACATCTGGGGACAACTGAGAATTGACTGCTTTTGGTTTTTATGTCAAAGTTTTTAAAGCTAGAGCCTATAAACTTTTATATGTATATACACATGCATACACACACACATACATACTTATACACGTACAGTTTGACAACTGCATTTCAATACAATTGGTTTCCTTTGTAACATTTTATTTCACACATTCAAAAACATTATTCTGAGAAGAGCCCCGCAAACTTCACCAGCTTCTCAAGGGAATCCCCTTAACAGAAAAAAAAGTTAAGAACCCCTATTTTATGTAATATAAGCATATGATCATGCTTAGAGGCAGATAAGGAGAAGCAATTTTCCAGCGTTCAGGATAATAACCTATTTTAAATACAACCTAACAGAAGTAATGTTAGCAATAATCTATATTTAAAAGAACAGCAACAGAAAGCATTCCTTTCTACTTTCTACAAACAGGTCGCTCTAACCATCTAATTACAAATCAGATACAAATAAGCACGGACTCCCTCCTGCACCCTATCAGGGCACCACAGAAGCGTTAGAGCCATATTTACTTTAGGTACCTCAAAATACACAGACCTAGGCTTTAAATTCCTCTTTGGGGCCTATGCCATGTCATAAAAGGACCTTTTGATAACTAAGCCACCTAAAGACAGAGTCAAAGATAGGCTTGTCCAAAAGGAATGATGTATGGTGGTAAATTACAAAGTACTTTGGGTTCCATAATAGAAATGGGCAGCAAAGTGAATCAAATAAGTCATGCCAATACTCCTAAGTAACCTCAGATTGTAACCTCCTGTTACACAAGGAGATAACAATGGAGGCAGAGGCCCAGGAAATGTGAGGGGGAAAAACAGTCACAGCTATTTTAATCAAGTCTTCACTAGAATAAACTATTTAACAATCAGCTTCTGTTCATTTTCACGTACAGGACTGAAACAGGACCAAGGTTGTGAAGTGGTCTTAACTGTCCATCACTAGCTAAGAAATAGCTCAATAGTCTGTCTTTACCAGAATAAAGTGGCCAAAAACATTGGTTTCAAACACCTCCTGCAGTCCATCTGTAGTGACCCTGTCATCCTGGGTCAACAGGCCTTCGGCTGTGGAGAACATATGAAATACTTTTCTGAAAGAGAACAAAACAATACTGTAAAACCAAAATGATTTAACCTGATCTCTTGATGCCAAATCAAACTCACTAAATCTGCCCACAGGTATTCAAATCACATAGTTCAAACCGCGACAGTCTAGTTCTCTCACAATTTACCCAAGGGCCTTGACGGGCAATGACTCAAGAAAAAGGCCTTAAAAGAAGGCCCGCTGTCTCCGACGATCCTTTGTGTTCCCAAGAGCTGGGAAATGAGTATAACAGTGTCTAGTATGGGATTTTTGAAATGCTTTCTTTCAGATGGACATAGCCACTCCTTCCAGCTGGGGTGCCCACCCTAAAAGCATCATCAAGATTTCACAGATCCTTGAGAACACCTCACCCAAGACGTGATTGGCAGTATTCAATTTCCCGTTCACAAAAGTGGCAATATCACCTCTTACCATGATCTCTCTATTCAAATACCCCTACTTTTCTCTGATATTCCCAAACCAACTTGATATATTGATCATTGACAAAACTGGGCACAAAAAAACAGATGAAGTTTAATTCCACTGAGTACGTCTGCTTCCCACTGGTCATCTTCCTGCCCTGCCACCTGGTCCCTACTGATGCACCCTCTGCACCGGACCTCTGGAGGCCAAGCCCTAGAGGAGCTACATCGCTCAGCTCCAAAACTCCTGTTCTGTCATGTTGTCCTGCCTATGGAGAGGTCCCTGATAATGCTTCTCTATGGTCACCTTCCTGCCTTGGCAACCCCATCTCCTCTACTTCCTCTCCCAAACTCCTACTTTTCACTTCTTGCTCTGTCAATAATAATCAAAACATCACTAACACTTTCTGGTAAAGGTGTATTAAATAACTGTCCTGTGGTTCTATCCACCATCTCTGTGACTTCCCAGACCAAAACATCCTTCCTTAGCCATGACTTTCCTAGATATATTGTCTCTTCCTGTTAGAAGATCCTTACGGTCCAAAACTCTTTTGTATTTACTTAAAGCCCCTGCACTTAGCACAGTGACTAGCACTTAAAAAGTGTTTAACAAATGCTTTTGTGTTCATCCATTTATCTGAAAAATCTTCAAGTTACCTTGAGAAGAGGCCAGAAAAAAGTGCTTTTAAATTCAACTGTGGATTTGGCATAATCCCAGCATTCACATAGAGGTAGTCTAGACGCTCAAACCTAGAAGTAAAATACAAAGACAAAACATGGATTCCCTTCAGTACATATTCAGAAAACTTGAAAAATCCCAAAGTATGGTCATGAAAGAGAAAGGCACAAAGGGTCAAACTTTCTTACTGAACCAAGAAGATGGCAATAGTTGACACAGAAACACGTTATGAGGCTTTTCTCTTAAAAACTAGTTATTGTCAAAATAAATGCTTATATATCACTGTTAGTTCTTGGGCTCAGGCCTTCACATGTACAAGAATTTGCCATTGAGGATCGTGTTTCAGGCACAAAAGTACTCTTGATTTCCCTATCAATAATTGATAACCAGATGAGTCTAATTATTAAAGCCAATATAATAATGAGACCAGGGGAACATCTATTTTTAATGCCAAATTCTATTTAATTCAGCACACATTCATGTAACTGGGATTTTAGAAAGAGTTCCCAAAAGAATGACTGAGGACATTACAGCTGAACTTATTCACTGCATGATGAGTTATTTATACATTATCTAACCTAGGCATCTATTTAGGAATATCTCTATCTTCTTCTGGAAAGATTCATTTCCACAACACAAATAATTTTACTTCAGATTAACTAACTACCCTCAAAATTGCAAATTTAAATCTGCCTTTAAAAAAATAACCAAACTAGAATAACCTTTATTTTTCATGCCTTACTGTTTTTCCTATAAGTAATAAAACACAGCACTGAGGCAAACAAGATATTGCTCAGCAGAATAAAAATGGCATAAGTAAGCAAGCAGGAAGATAGTTCCAAAAAGGTCTCATCGTATCCCTCGGGCTTCCTTTCAACTCAGGTATTTTTTATGTGGCTCTATAACTTAAAAACAATGTCTGGGGAGCATATTGCGCATTAAACTCTGCAATTAGTTTCTAAAAAAGGAACTCTCCTTCCTTGGAGTCCTTTAAGAACAAGAGCTACACTCACCTGGCTGCAGCCCAGCTCCCAGAATGCCACGGTGCATGCCCACAGTGCTTTAAAATGATGATGACCTTTGGAGGATCTGGGCCTGAGATTTCATCAGTGCAGAGAAGTCCTGGGGGAGAAATCTCTAAACGGATCCCAGTCAGTGCCTCACCTTGACCTCAACTGACTCTCTTAAGAGTTGGGAGGACAGTGAAAGGTGTATATGACTTGCATAGGGTCACACAGGGAGCGTATGTCAGAAGTACAACTCGCACCTATATCTTCCTACTTCCAAAGGTAGTCCTCTAACCACTAAGCCACCCTGAATCTCTGGACTACTTCTTCTCTTTCTAAAAGTTTTATTGACATGGTTTACTTTTATATTACAAACATTTCCAGATTACCCCCATTCCTTGAAAACTCTTCTGTAACAAAGTAACACAATTAGGTAAAACTAATGATAGTGACCTCAACTGAAAGTGAATATATTCCCCATCAGTAGGACCCCACCTCCACTTCTCTATTTTAATTTTTTTGAATTAATAGAAATCTATTTCCTTTTCCTCTCACCACCCTTACCCCTATCCCACTAGGGAAAAAAAGAGAAAAGAAAAACAAATTCCTTCTAACAAATACATACAGTCAAGCAAATCAAATTCCCTCATTGGCTGCCTACAAACATACATATATATAATTACATATATACATACCTATGCATATCACATATAAAACTCTGCTCCCTAAATATCACTTCTCTGTGAGGAAGTAGTATCATTGGTTCTCTGGAATGGTCATCACAATGATCATAGTTCTCACAGCTTTCAAAGTTATTTTGTTTTACACTGTTATTATTTTATAAATTATTCTGATTCTGTTCATTTTTACAATACTGATATTACCACATAAATTATTCTGGATCTGCTCACTTCTCCCTGCCTCAGTTCATATAAATCCTTCCATGTCTCTTTGAAATCATCTATTTCTCATTTCTTAAAACACTATAGTACTCCATCACTCAAAGACTATGAATAATCCAGCCATTCCTTGATTGATAGGCATCCCTTAGCTTCCATTTTGGGGGGAACCATGAAAAGATCTGCTATAATTTATTTTTAACATATAAGACCTTTTTATATTTCCCTGATTTTGGGGGGGTATAGGCCTAACAGTGGTATAGCTGGGTCACGGAGTATGCACTGCTTAGTAACTATTTGAATATAATTCCCAATTGCTTTCCCGAACAGCTGGACCTATTCACAGGTACACCAATAGTGTTATCAATGTGTGTTTTCTCAGAGTCCTTCCAATATTGATAACTTTCCTTTTTTATCATCTTTGACAACTTGGTGGGTGTGAGGTAGGATCTTACAACTGCTCTATTTTGTATTTTTTGAATTAGTGATTTTGAGTATTTTTTCATATGGCTATAGATAACCTGATCTCTTCCCTTGAGAACCACCTGTACATATTCCTAGACTATTAATTAATTGGGGAATGGCCCTTATTCCTATAAATTTGAATCAGTACCTTACATGTTGTAGAAATGAACCTTTATTAGAGAAATTTGATGCAAAGATTTTCCCCTCAGTGTTGCTTTTCTTTATTGGAGTTGTTTGTACAAAAATGTTTTAATTTTATGTCATGAAAGTTATCCATTTTAACTTCTATGATCCTCTCTATCCCAGGTTTGGTCAAGAATTTTTCTTCTATCCGTAGAACTAACGGGTATTTTTTTCCCCATGTTTCTCTGATTTGCTTATGATGTAACCTTTTATATGTAGGTCAGACCTTAATTTGGAGCTCATCTAAGGGTAAGATGTGAAGTGTTGACCTAAATCTAATTTCTTATCTGCTATCTAATTATCTAACTGCTATCTAATTTTCCCAGCAATTTTTGTCAAATAGTGAGTCATCATCCCAGTAGCTACGGTCTTTGGATTTCTCCAACACTAGGCTGAGACACATTTGTTTTGTTATGTTGTGTATGTAATCTGTTTTATTGGTCAATTGCTTTATTTTGTAAACAGTACCAAATCATTCTGAGAATTACTCTGTAATAGTTTTAAACCTAGCACTAGCCAGGCCCCCTTGATTCCCACTTCTTTTAATTATTTCTCTTGAAATTCTTGACCTTTTTTGCCCCCATATGAATTTCATCATTATTTTTCTAATTTATAAAATAAAACCTTGGTAATTTGTTATGGCACTGAACAACTAAATTAATTAAGGTAGTATCATTTTTATTATACTGACTCATCCTACGAGCAATTAATATTTTTCCAATTATTAAGACCCATAAACAACAGTTTGTAGTTGCATTTATGTAGCTCTTATGTGTAACTTGGCAGATAGACACCCAAGAATTTTATACATTCCATAGTTATTTTAAATGGAAATTCTCTATCTCTTTCTTCTGGGTTTTATTGGTATTACATAGAAAAGTTGATGACTTGCATTAATTTATGTCCTGCAACTTTGCTGCAGTTACTATTTCAACGAAGTTTTTAGTTCTGTCTTTAGCGTTCTTTAAGTCCACCATCATATCATCTGCAAAAAAGTTCTAATTTTGCTTCTTCTTTACCCATGCTTAATGCTCTCAATTTCTTTCTCTCATCTTCATTCTATAGCCAGCATTTCTAATACTGTATCAAATAGGAGAGTTGACAATGGACATCCTCATTTCCTCTAATGTTACTGGAAAGGACTGTGGTTTATCTTGATTACATGCACTGGCAGCTCTTGGTTTTCAATACATATTATTTTTCTCTGGGCTATTTCACATCATCACCAATGCCCTTTATGGTGAAAGGAATCACAAATACAGGATAGGGAAACATCAATGAAGTAATATGGCCTGCAACAATGAAAGTTAGGGTGGAGGAAAGAAAGTGAAATTTGTTCCTTCTGAACTCACATCTAGAAAAGGGGAAACAGAAACAGTTCTAATGATACAGGGAAATAAATGTCAGGCCTTGTAGACCAGGAAGCAAACTGGTATTTAAAACAGATGCTGGCACAACAAAATAGCCCCTGCTATTTCTTTCATGTTCTCCCTTCAGCTTATCTGCACAAGATTCAGGATGGCACAGTGGACAGAAGGCCGGCCTCCCTGTCAGGAAGCCAGGGGGTTCCTGTCCACCTCTGACCCACACTGGCAAGACGCTCATCCTCTCAGTGCCCCAGGAAGCACTCTAAAGCTGGAAGCTGAAGGGCACTTGCTGATCTACACTGGTAGAGGGAGTGTCTTTATTGGTAATTCCCTATAAAAATAAAATCATGAGTCCAATTCATCTTATCTGCACAGGGAGAAAAAAAAAGGCTGCATGTTAAATTTCTCACATTGGACTAATTTTAGAAAGGTTGGTGCATTACTGTTCTGAGAAACAAGTTAAAACTTAGCACTGGGAAGACGTAGGATTGAAGGAAAAGAACACTGGCTGTGAAATCAGATGCTTGGGTTCTAACTGAAATTCTGTCACTGACTAGTTTTGTGCCATCTCAAGTTTACTTAACCTCTCTGTGCCCCTCACTATCCCATCTACTTCACAAAGTGGCTACAAAGATTTAAAAAGAGGTGGAAATGGACATAAAAGTGCTCAGAAAAATTTAATATCTTACGCAAATAGAATATACAATTACAGACAACGATGCATCCATTTGCAAATTATCAGAAGAATGCAGGGTTCAGAGACAACAAATGTTACAAATCAGGAATGAGATATCAAGACACTGAGGGGGAAACAGTGTCTCGGGCAGATGAGTGCTCATCAGCAGAATTCAGGAGGAAGGACAATGGTTGGAGCCAAGAGATCTGACACCTCCTGGTTGTGCGACTCTGGGCTAAGCCATTTAAACCTCACTTTCCTCATGCAGAAAATGAATAATGACATTAGGCTTGGTATGAGAAAAGCACCTTTTAAACCTTAGAGCACTAAAGAAATGTGACTTATATCTGATCTGGCTAACTTCATCCTCCTGGAAGATCCCTCTAGTCCCGGGACTCACACCTTGGAAACAGCCTCAGTTCCCTGGGACCCTCCTTCTGATTGGAGGGCTCCCCCCAGAACCTCCATGTAACAAGGGTGCCCAGGTCAGCCATCTCTTCATTTCCCATCAGGCTGTTCTTCTCTGGACTTCTCCATCATGCCCTTATGTTAGGTACCTTTCCTCTCCTCTCTCACCTTCTCCATGCCAGGCTTGGCATCTAGGAGTTAAAGCAGATAGAATACTGGGCCTGGAGTCAGGAAGACTTGAGTTCAAACGCAGCCTCAGACAATTACTAGCTATGTAACCCTGGGCAAATCACGTCACTTGTTTGCCTCATTTTCCTCATCTGTAAAATGGAGATGATAATAATAGCATCTACCTCCCAGGGCTGTTATGAGAATCAAATGAGATAATAATTATAAAGTAGTACTTAGCACAGTGCCTGGCCCATAGGAAGTGCTCTATAAATGCTAGTTGTTGTTGTTGTTGTTATTAATATTATTAAATGCTTACTGACTGAATTGACCTGGCTGACAACCCTTCTTTTTAAAAAGCAGACCACCCCATCACTTCAGAAGAGAAAACCAGCTACTAAGACATACCTTTGTTTGAGTTCTCTTGACGCCTGAAACACAGATTGCAGGTTACTAACATCTATCTGTATGAGTGTGATCTCCGCTCTGGGGTGAGAAGACAGCAGGGCGACCCGGGCAGCTTCAGCCTTTCCCAGATTCCTGCATGCTAAACACAGATGAAGTCCATCATCTTCACAGAGCAGCCTTTCACAGAGGGCCAAGCCAATGCCACTGAAATGACAATTCAGGGAGACAACATACTGGCACCAGGACAAAGCTCCAAACCAACCGAATCTGAAATTCTGTTTCATAATACTGACACGGCCCGCTTTGGCTCAGGAGACCTAGCTTTCAGTAGGAAGCAAGTAAAAAAGCTGTAAAAGATCTTTTTAAAAATTTTAGTCATGTCAACAAGCATTTATTAAGCACCTACTATGTTCCAAGTACTGTGCTAAGTGTTTGGGATACAAAGAAAGCAAAAGTGGCCCCTGCCCTCAAGGAGATCACATTATAATGGGAGGAGACAACATGTAAACAACTATGTAAAAATAAGATATATATATATATATATATATATATAATGTACACACACACACACACACACACACACACATACACACACACACGGCAAAATGGAGACAATCTGGTAGAAAAGGCACTGGCATTTAGGAGGCCTGGAGAGGTTTCTTACAGAGGGTAGGATTTTAGCTGAAATCTGAAAGAGGCAGAAACGAAGGAGAAAATTCCAGGAACGGGGAGACAAAATGAGTAAAAATACATGGAGTCCAGATATTTCTCAAGTAAAGAACAGCCAAAGGGTTGGTGTCATTGAACTGTAGAAAATGTGGAAGGAAGAAAGGTGCAAAAAGACTGGAAAGGTAGGAAAAGGGCCAGGTAATGGAGTGCTTTAAAAGCCAAACAGAGGATTTTATAACCTGGATGTAACAGAGAGTCTCTGAAATTCAATAAAGGCAGGGAGAGAAGGGGTTGACATGATCAGACCTGTGCTTTAGGAAGATCACTGTAGGAAAAAAAAAAAAAGAAAGAAAGAAAACAATCTGTTCAACAGTCCTTTACAAGCTGAATGGCTTTATAGGTGGACAATAATCACCAGAGAGCCCTCAGAATTTAGATTTTATTTATCTTGTCCTTAGCTCTAATTCTTCTCAACGTCTAATGATGAGGAATGAATAACAGCATGTTATTCATTGGTCCACATAGAGATCTTTCACCTTCCTAGGTATACAGAAACAGCTGACCTGTTGATTGTGGAATATTTTTATTTCTGCCATTGTCAAACAAATGCTATCAAAATGCCAGATGATCTCCAGGAATGCCTCCCTATAATGAGGGCCATGAGGGACAATGAAAAGCTCCTTGAGGGCAGGGGGGACCATAGCTCAGATGCCCCCGATCAGGTTCCACCTCCTACCTCAGATCTTTCCTGATGCCCTGTTGTTAGGGCTCCCCAGCTTTTCAAATTCCTCTGTACTGCATGTATGAACTCTGCATAAGGGCAGGAACTACTATTATTTGTCCTCAACACCTGGCAAGGCACTTTGCACACAGAAGATGCCTAAGCAGCAGCTAACTTGAAATGAAAAGTATTCTGGCCTATGTCAAGAAGGAAAAAGATATCACACCAATGAAAAAATGAAACCATGAGGACCCCTGGACTTGGAGATGTGAAATCAGATCTCCAGACCTGGCTTCATTTATGGTGTGCTAAAGAGCTCAACATGCCTGCAAGTACAGAAGCTACTTGAAGTAGCTGGGGCCTGGCTATCCTGAAAGGCTATGGAAAGGAGCTTTCCCATGGGAAACTTTACTGCCTTTAGGCAGACAATGAACACGCTTGTGTAATGTGGTGTAAAAAATCATAAACTGCTCAACTATATTCAATTCAAATGAGAAGTCTGACTATGGTAACAGTTAACGAGTCTGTAGGCTGGCTTCCCATGTGGCTACAAGTCATCAAGAGTAATGTTTTCACCAAGCAAGAAAATGCAGAGTTCTGAATCAATTATTCAACAGAGCTAAGAAACAAACTTGAAGGTTTTCTAACAAGGAGGAAGCTGGATACTGGGGGGGAGGTGGGGAGAGGCAGCTATTTCTAATTCAAGGAATAATTCTGTGGGTCCACAGGTGCTGTCAGCTGACCACCTAGTAAGGGTGAGAGGAAGAAGAGATGAGTCGATGAGGTTACTTGGACCTTGCTGAGAGACTTTAGAGCAGTGATCTCAAGCTCAGATAGAAGCAGGGGCCACTAATCCATACATAAGGATCCATGTGGACTGCATATTGACTTAGTTTTAAATGGTAATATTTTCTATATTTTATTGCGTTTTTATGTTGCTGAATATTCCCCAATGACATTTTAATCCGGTTCAGGCCGCACTCAGGAGTGCTCTGGGCCACATGTGGAAGCCAGTTTGATGTCTCTGCTTTAGAGTCTTATTTGTTAAGCCCATCATAGCAACAGAGAATTTTGCCTTTTGTGAGCAAATATCTAAGACGTGACAGAGAATGTCCCAAGACTTGTCAAAACAAATGATTACTACTCACGTTTGGTGGTCCTCACAGGCATAAAGATGCTCAAAAAAGGAACTCTGAAAGCACTGCTAAGGATTACAAAGTCTTGAGCAAGAAAACTAAAATCCTTAGGGGCACAGTTTTTTTGTTTGTTTGTTTGTTTTTTTTTTTATCACAACTGCCTGTTCAATGCAAGGATTCAGAAGAGAAAAATCAGGTTTGGAAAATGAAGTTGGCTAAGAACATGACGTCTAAGCACAGATTTGGATTTTTGCACCATAAGATAAAAAGGACGGGCTTCTAGCAAGAGAAAGAGTATATCTAAAAATGGCTAGATGTATTAGCCTGGAGTCTTGCAATCCAATCAAGAGGGCTTTAAACTAGAAAAGGAAAAGGCATCGGAGGAATATTGCCTATGTATATCCATCAAAATAGAATCAAATGTTTGACACGGGAAATGCTGGCAAAGGATCGCCCATCATGGCAGGCCCACATAAAAGAAAGTGTGCATGCTCTATGATGGAAGCAGAATTGCAGTAGCTCAAAAGAAACTTGAGATGCACAAATTTAGAGACATCTCCACTCCAAATGTTCATGTGGACTATTTGTGCCCAACCTGAGCTAATATTGGTCTGATCAGCCACAGTCTGACACACTGGACCTTGACTCCAACACAGTGATGCCATTTTGGTCCTCTTCCACAATGATGGACAACAACCAATTGAGCTAGAATACAGAAAGATTAGTAGCTGCGACTCCCAGAAGTTCACAGGAGACAAAATCCAAGAAGTACACTCAGGTCCTCTGACATCTAAACAAAAATATACAAAGTATGAAAAACAAGCAAGATGAATAGAAATCTGAATCAGCTGAAAGTGAGGTGATCAAGCTCGGGTGTCTATACTGTTTCCTACATTTTGCAGCAAAGGCTGTCCAAAATGAGTGACTTTTGTGCGTAACAATTGAGTACACACAATAGGAAAGGAAAAAGAGCCCAAATGCTAAACTAAAGTATCCAAATGATTGAAGGACATCCTCTACAGCCAACTGAGCCCTCTCAGGGGAGCTGAAAATGGGGGATGCTGCATGTTTAGGGCTCTGGAGGCTAGCCTCCACTAGCTCTCAGGCTACCATGTACAATATCGAGTTATGAGGTAAGGCAGGGGAAAGGAGAAAGAGGGCAGCAACAAAGAAAGCTCCCTAATTAGTTCTTGTTACACAAGCAAAGTTCTATTTCTAACGTGTCAGTAACATTCCACCAGTTTTTCCATATATATATAATATGCACATATATATGCACGTATATATGTATGTGTGTGTGTGTGTGTGTGTGTGTGTGTATATATATATATGTATATATCAGGGGCTCTTGGACAGTGACTAGTAGGAAAGCAAGATATTATCTCTCCCCTGTACTCCTAGGGCTCTGCTTTGGCAACTCTGAGCATTACAACTGATTAAATAGATGAAGGAGAAAGAAAAGGAAACTGGGGAGAGAGTTCAACTCAACCATCTGAGCAACTGACTGTAAACTGACTAGGCCCAGTCTAATAGAGATAGAGGCCTGTTCTCATGATCTTGGCCAGACTCTGAAAATCACTTCTACATAAATTTCCCAGAATCTAGGGGCTCATCACCACAAATAATCATTATTTCAGGCCTCTAAAGCAAACAAAAAAAAAAAAAGGAGGAGGAGGAGGAGATCATTAAGTTTGTTCATGGCCTGGATTTTGGACTGCTTTCCTGTGCTGGTCTCCAGACTCTAAAGCATGCCATACATGAGGTCAACAGGTGAACACGCATTTACAGTTTTCATTGACTACTTCATCTCACAGTATGCTGGATCTACGAGATGAGACAGCAACTACTGGAGGCCAGAATAGATCCTACAACAAGATCCTAATGCAAAGAGGAAAAACTGAACTAACAGGTATCACTGATACTTAGGAAAATGAGACTCATTACTGCAATATGACTTCGGAAAGTAAAGGGAAGAAGAAGTAGTATCAGGGTAACATTGTATATTAAGAAACCATCGGCATTTCAGTAAATTCAGGAACTTGGAAGGGAGAGTGACGGTGGAACACAATGGAGATCCTTTGGTGAGTATCAATGAAGGCAAAAACAGAAGCAATGTTGCTCATGTAATATATGACAGAACATCTGGGCTGAAAGAGGAAGTAGATCAAAAGGGTCGCACCAAGGTATGACATGAATTACATGGACAACTGCTAAAACTAGATCTCTCAGCCACAAGGGGAGTAGCTAATGATCTGCTGGCTTGACTTCATAATTTCATTCTTACAAAGGTACCCATAAAGTGAAATCTCTTCTGAATATTCTGACCAACAAGGTTACTAGGGTGGAAATGATGGAAACCTTCAGGAAAGTGGCTGCCTCCATCTCTTAAAGGAGAAAAGGAAAGTCAGAAACAGTCCGACATATATCCTGTATTTATTTAGGGAGCACACAGTTCAAATGATTCAAAGAAGGGCTGGGTAGGATCCCAAGGGCATATAGGGGAAGTCAGCCCAGAAGTAATGGCAAGTTGTCATGAATGTAATTCTCAAGATACAAAGGAAAACTAAAAAATGAGAAAGGTCCAAAGAAACCAAAAACCAATGTGGCTATGCA